ACCACATGTAAAAAGCTGCCTTTTAAATTGTTTTCATGTATTTTTTATGATGAAAGTAGTTCAATATGATAATTTTTTGAAAAGAAATGCAAGCATTAAAATAGAAAGTGTTCTCAGATATTCAAGCATGCTTGGAGGACTAAAAAATGTATATAAAAAAGTGCATTTATGACGTATTCTCAATCTTCATCAATTCATATTTCACATAAAAAAATCAACGATTTATATTTCATAGACTAATACATAAAATAGAAATTAACTATTTAAACAATTCATTAGTTAGCGCACAGTTCTCAGCACTGCATCTATAAAAAAAAGATATCTTGTTAATTCACTTCATTTTTCTATGCTTTAACATATGAACCTTTATGCTAAATAGTCTTTGTGTATTTGATAGAAGTACATCTAACAATAATTGAGAGGATATCTATCATTTTCACAATCTATGTATTATTATCTGCATAACAAATAGCCGTCATTGTTTACAGCTGATACACAATCACATTTAAGATTATTAATACAACATTTGTTATGACAAAAGTGAAAACTTATACGATTGAGTAGTTGAGTGATGAAATAACTCAAAAGGCAGCAGCATGATAAGTATAGATCTTAAAAAAGAAAGTACACTGAGTAATGCACTATTATCACTCTAATAGTTGCTGACAAGCACGTCTACTAGTGTTCCGCAAAATTTTAGTTCTTCTATTAGTATTGCATTCATGTATTGACGATATGAAACGAAACTATATCCTTTAGATTGTTGCTTTCAATCCATTTGTTACATCAACATGCATATTTTAACACTCATTGTTGTCAAATTAAGTCATTCTGCTAATGTATATGAGTGTGGACAACTTATTTTCATCACTTTTGGCAAATTCAATTTTCCATTTTCTTCATATTTCTTTTTTTCGTTATAGAAAATTGCTTATTTGACTCAACATAACAATGGCAAAGAACAGGACAAAGATTAATAAAGTGAATTATGTGAAGACAATGCAGCACGTACTAATATTATTTGGTAGTTACCTTGGAACTATGCATAATTGGCCAGATTCTAACACTTATTTAATAAAGTCTTTTCTGGCTCTCAGTCACACTTCTGCTTATCTTAGTAATAATATAGTATTCAAATATTATCCATTTGTTTATCTCTGAAAATTATCCATACTGCTATCTAGTAAAATGATAATTCATGATATTGAGTTTTTCTTGAAAACCTATGTGGGAAAGAGAAATGAACACATAAAAGAACAAAAATAAGAAAATGCAAGAGATAATAAAGATTTCAACATAAGAATGATATCAAAATCAACACACAGTCCGAGTGTTACAAGTACTGTCTGTTAGTTTTGATTGTTTACCTATTCAGATAATGAAACAAACTGTGTCGAACAATTAAAAAATATTGAGTAAGAGAACTATTTATGTCATCTTGATAAAAAATAACTATTGTTATGAGGAAGATAGATGAGATACTACTATTTTCATATTGACCTTTTGCATACTTCAGAAAGACGAAACCATCATCATTTTTTGCATTCATAAAAGAAAATCAAAAAATGTAATTTTTTCTTTATCGAACTTTAACATGAAAATGAAAAAAGATATTGAAAGTTTGTCATTTAACTGAAAAAGAAACGGCACTAAATCTGATCATACGATAAAAAAAACCATATGATAAAGTTTTTATAAGATTTGCAAAGTAGGGAACGAATTATCGAAAATGCTGTCTTAATCTTCTGAATTTTATATATTTCTCTATTACAAAACGTATAATATTAGTATTTATCAAATACAATTGTATCAGCATTTAGTATGATATATATATATAGATTTGACATAACTTGGTTTTGAAATTTGGTTCAATGATTTAAAGATGATAAATGTTAAAATAAAGATTTTGTTTTCTGCATTTGATTCGTGTCATCTGTCTTTTTCATTCATTTACCAAAAATACTGCATTCAGTATTTTAAACGTATTGAAACAATCAGTATATCAAAACCATAAACTTTCCCAATATTGTTAAGATTACTGGTGTTGCTTCATTTTGATAACTTGTCATTTGAACATCTAACTAACAACATACTATTTGTTACAATAGAAAGTCAGAAAATTAAATTTATGAAATTCATATGTTTCTAATATTATTGTTCGAGATTAACTTAGACATTTAACTAACGACCTAAGATAAATAAGAATTATGTCTTCTATCGATTGCAAACAGTAATTTATTATTACTCAACATGAAGTTTCTCTTATAATAAGAATCTAATTGCAAGCATATATCGAGAAAATTCACAACAAAAAAGTTCGATCTAAAATTCTTCTCAATAATAGTTCTCATGATCTTTATGGTATCCTGAAAGATTCTGTCCAAAGGGCTGATTTCTTTTTTAAGATATTACATGCCTAAAACCTAGGCTATTTTTGAAGCTCTTGTATGACAGTAAAGTTTTTTTGCAAAAGTGTTATCTCAAAAGGAAAACATTCGTTTGAACCAAAAAAAAAATCAGGATATTATAAGAGCAATAAGAGCTATTGTTGAATAGAATTTCAGGTCGAAATTGTGTTACGAACTTTTTCGTGATATCCTGTGAGAAACTAAAAGTTCAGTAAGATGACCGTAAACCAAGAAGAAAAGTCTAATGCCACAGATCCTTTTAAAATTTTTTAGTTATGCTTTGAATCTTGTCTATGGACAAAATATAAGCTCATACGAAAATTATTCGTTGGATGGAGCCCCTAGTAAAGTGGAATGTCATATTACAGTAGGAAAAAAGATGGTTTTATATTTTATATTGGTGAAGCGTCTCTGATATGATTAATTGAAATAGCTTTAAAGGTTATAACATGTAGAAAGCTCTAAATTTCCAGCTTATATTATTTCAATGGGCACTGTTACGAAATTGATATATATATATAGACGTCTTATTATTACCAACATTCATACGCTATATTGAACGACAGAATAAAACACTCAATAAAATTAAGCATGTACCTACTATCAATCATAAAAGTCTGTATGATTTGTTATTCAGCAACTGTTCTTGTTCAAACGCTTTATAATACTGAACAATATGAATATTTTTATTTTTTTTACTTTTTTTCGCCTTGGACACTGTGAGAAAATCATAAATCGTAGAAAATGAATAGAATCCAGAGATAATAAGCAAATACAGCTATGTTTGGATTACCACTAAATATTCATTATCAATCATTTGTGATTTTTTACAAGTCTTCAAAAGATTTCAATTTATTGATTTTAAGAAATTTCTAAAAGAAAAACTGACATCTGTTGCAATGCTTCTCACTAGAAAATATTTATATTTCAATATTTGAATTTAGATAGAAACTACGTTGATTTAAAATCGATTTTGTTGAAAAGAAAAGAATAAATGTATATGATAACTATATTTGACATATCATAATATTCAAAATATTCTTGATTAATGAAGAGCTTCTTGTTTTTCATTGTCTTTAATAATAATATGACAGATAGATGTTGTCTTCTTCAATAGCAATCTATTGTATTGAATAGCGAATGTAATAAGCATCTCGATCAATAAATAGAGATATTGTCTGATTGTATTTCTTGACAATTCGACTATGTCGATGTTGTATTCCCTGAATACCAATATTGTTATATCCAAAATAGATTCTAGTGAGGTTGAATGCCAAATGATAACAATTGATGTATGATAGATGGCTAAAGAGTTTATCTAACTGTGTTATTTTCTACTGTACTCAACAGATATTATAACTTGTAGTCCTCTATTTTCTGATTAAAAAAAAAATAGGGTGAGACATATCTAGATAAAAGTTCAAATGCAATACAGGGTTTCAATGAGTTAGCTACGTGGTATCTTATTTATTTTATTTTTATATAATAATTAATTCTATCAAAGAATACTAGACAAGCTTGGCATTATTTTTACAGATAATATTTTCGAGAGTAAAACCAAACAACATGACAATTTTTAATTGACAATCTAAAATATTTTGTTAGTAACAAATAAAATGAAATTAAATCATTCGTAGTTGGAATATATTAGAAGTGCTAATTAGCAACGTTATATGTCTGTAAGGTTTTAATGACTTTAAGAGCTGTCATTGAGCAAAGTTTTAGACTGAAATTCATTTGTCTGCTTTTCTTTTATAAATGCCGTACTAAAATTAGAAAACTAAGTGTAATGGTCACAACTTCAAAATAAAAACACATGAAGAAGAATCCTTTTAGGTTTCTTCTACTTTCAATAGATTCTACGTAATGACTAAGATTTTATCTCAATTACGAAGTATTACCTTCGATTCTTCCTTCGTAAGTGGCATTCAAGTCTCATTTTTAATTTCCATATGATGGTCTTATATTTATGTACCGTCATCAACTTCGACCCTCAATCATCTACTTTCAATAGTCCTTTAGAATATTTAAAGACTAACATATAATGCAATATATTATCCTAACACCAATTTATTTAATTCAAACTATCAGTGTCATACTTCTAATAAATATTTTTTTGTATTTATTTGATAACCTAAAAAAAACGATTTGTAATTGATGAATAAATTATTTCATCATAAAAATTACTATCTACATCTATTTAGTTTATAATATGAATAAATAGACCTCTAACAGAGCTGATGTATTTTACCTTTTTTTTTTTTTTTATTATAACAACACTATTCGGAGTTGTTTTTAGATTTTGCCATAATATTTACTTCATAAATAAAATCCTTTTCTAGTGTTTCGCTATGAATCATGAACGACACATTTTTCTTCGTTTATTATAAACTTACTTTTTTAACACGTCGTCGTAAGGCGCGATACTCAACGTAACGTATGATCACTGAGTCATCAGATAAAAAAAACCTTGCACAATCTAATGTAACGAAGAACAGAACAGAGCAACATATATAAAGCGACTACCATATATTATTCTCTCATTTTATTTCTTTGTCAACAATATACTTAACAAACAATATCCATTCAGTGATGGCGGCAGCAGCAGCTCTTCATGTTGAAAAAGTTGAACGACCTGAATTAGCTAAACATGATTCAACTATTCTTGGTAAATTTGTCTTTCAATAATTTATTTTCATGTTCATTTTACGATTATGAATATATTTAGATCTCGTCTTTGTCATGGATTGTACGAGTTCGATGGGATCATATATTAATAGTGCCAAGAGTAATATTCGTTCCATTGTGGAAGAAATAGTTGTTAGTGAAAAAAGTGATATTCATTTAGCACTTATTGAATATCGAGATCATCCACCACAAGTAAGTGTAAACTAAACACGAGAAAAAAAATGTTTTAAGAAATAATCAATTTTGATTTTATTAGGATACTTCATTTGTTACACGTGTACATGATTTTACAGCTAAAGTCAGTGAAATGAAAAGTTGGTTAGAACAGTGTCAAGCATACGGTGGTGGTGATGGACCCGAAGCAGTTGCCGATGGACTTCATGATGTTCTTAAATTATCATGGCGTGCTGAATCTACTAAAATTTGTGTTCTTATTTCGGATGCACCACCACATGGACTTGATCCAAATGGTGACGGTTTTCCAAATGGTTGTCCAATTGGTCTTGATCCAATTAAAATTGTTCGAGAAATGGCTGAAAAACACATTACACTCTATGTTGTTGGTGTTGAACCACCTATTGGTAAGTTATCCATACATAATTATAATAAATTTCAAAATATATTATTAATTTTCTTTAGTTCCTTATCGTGATTTTTTCATGTCATTGGCTTATATAACTGGTGGACAATATGTTCCAATGGTTACTTCAAAACTTTTAGCAAAAGTTATTATTGGTGGAGTACGTGAAGAAATATCATTAGATCGTTTAATGCAAGAAGCTCAAGCAGATATTGATCATGAAATGCAAAAAGCTGAAGCTGAAGGAGCTAGTGAAAAAGAAAAAGCCAAACGAATCAATAATATTTTTTCGTCAAAAAATCTACGTGCAAAACAAATGCATAATTCTTTTGGTGCTGCATCATCTTTAGCGACAGATTGCTATTCAAAATGTGTCGATATGAGTGAAATGAAAAGTAAATTTTCATCAAAACCGACCGCTCCGTCAGCTGCTTTTGCTAGTGTCATACCAACAGCAGAAACTACTTATGATCTAATGGAAGATCAACATGTCAGTGAAGAACAAGCATCACGAGTGTATCAAAAATGGAACAATCGTAAAAAATAAATGTTTTCTTGTATTTTATGTCAGATAAATGAAACAAACTTGATAAATTATGAAATAAATGATTATCGCTTCAAAAGTTTCTAATCTAATCAGATTTTGAACGATCAAATGATATGTCTAGCTATTAAATATAATTCGAAAGTGAAGTACTCTATTTTTAAACGATACATTTGTTTCTTGAAGTTATTTTTGAATCATTTATATAGTGTTCTAGTTAGTCATGAAATGTATTTAAACCATTGTATGAAATGAAACATTAAAATAGAATCACGATCATGAAAAGATATCATACTATCTTTATAGACGAATTTTTTTTTTAATATGAAAAGGCTAGTCAAAGATTAATATGTATGACGAGAAACTATGAGAAATATTTCTATTAATCTAGAGATTATTGCGATAAAGCATATGTATCTTGTGTTGACTACAGTTATCATTCTTGATAACAAAAGATATTCTCTTGTAAATAACGAGAAACAAGCAGACATACAAGAAAGATCAAACTTATTTCTATGCTAGGAATCATTGAATGTGGTTAAGGATGTGAGTATGGCCGTGGGTGTAATGGTGACGTTATAAAACAACTGAGGGGAGCTCAGTCCCTGTGACCAAAAGCTCTGATGCCGTTACTAGGTTTAGAGTATGAGTGTGGATCTTCTTTTCACCCACAACCGCATTTACGCCTATGTTTACTTACAGCATAAGCCTATGAATCAACGATTTCGCAAAGATCGTTTCATTCAATTATTCAAGAGATTTATCATCTATGATGAAATCAAACATCACGAAAGCGATGAAAAATGAATGAGTCATTCTGAAGAGAAATTCGTCTTGATGGTGATTGGACGTTGCTGAGTGTCTTGTCTTTACCTACACACTGATACTGAATGAAAACAAAAATGTAGAACTCTATTTAAACTGCTTTCAAACAATTGCGAAAGTTTATTTTTCAAACGACGAACAAGCGAAGGTCGACTTAGTTCCTCTCATTTAACGACATTGAAAGCCTGAAAAATCTTTCATGTCGAACTTGAACGAATGCTGATGAGTGAGTAGATGAGAAAGGATGCTTACGTCTTTATTGACTTTTTTTGACATTTTTTAAAATTTGTTTTTGGAATTTTTCCAGATTAAATAATCACATCAAGTTTACGCTATCCTACCCGTTCCGCCAGTCGCTAGTAGGTTGTGAGCACAGTACTCGAACAACAAACAAGTATCGGACGAAGAAAGAGTTCTGTTAAGTCTAGTTGTCAGAAGAAAGATTGATAATGCAAAGAATAAAGCACTTTTCAGTTCAGCCTGCATATTTTGTACTAGTATCATCGCAGCACTAGTTAAAAAAAAAGAATTTTTTTGTCGATTTCCATAGCTTCAGAAGACTCAACTATTTGAAGAATATTTTGCAAAAATAAACGACGAAGAAAGCATCCATAAAGTAGTGTTGCTTTTTCGTTTCTTGCAATTACTGTATGAGTAACAAACTCGAGTTGCTAGAAATAAATCAATTAGGCAAAAAAGGTTATTTCTCCAATGAAAAATATTTACATACACTTTTCTCCTACGGCAAATTCTTTTTTGTAAGTGTTTTGAGAGTCAACAAACGATAAGTATCTTTGTTTTTCTTCCGACTTTTCAAAGCACACTATAATGGCCATAGAATACTTTTCTTTTTTCTTTCTTTTTTTTTTGTTTTTATGTCATCAACCAACAAGATTTTTATTCTTGCTGTGAAAGTTTCGAAATGAGGTGACGCCAGTAGAGCAGAAGACGTTGAAAAGGTAGAAGAAACTTGTCAGTTACAGCCAACCAAGACAGAAGAGCGTAAGACATTTAGATATTCCAATCGGTTTTTTAGCTTGAATAATATTTTGCAGCAAAAGAAATGTGCAATTTACCATATTTGACACGCTCCATACGCTATACGACGCACAATAATTTGTGTATTTTGACTAATTCATCAACAAAACCAAGTTTTACTTATTCAATATCGATGTACTCCAACTATTTACGAATACCGATGCACCATTCGAATGCATCTTATCACACGTTTTGGTTGGATGCGAGTCTGAACATGAATAATCAAGATATTGTATATTCAAAACATAAACTAAAGAGTGCGATTAATGATCTACGTACATTTACTGATATACAAACATGTGCGAACAGAATTCGACAAGCCAAGAGCGAGGAAAAGATTTCTCTCATTGTTTCTGGATCTCTTGGCGAGAAAATAGTGCCTGAGATTCATCAGCTACCTCAAATAAATTCAATTTATGTCTTTTGTGCCAATAAATCAAAGCATATAGAATGGGCTAATAAGTACCCCACGGTCAAAGGTGTCTTTAATGATATTCAACCTATTTGTGAGTTTCTCACACGAGATACGCCCAAGTATGAGCTCGATGATATATCGAGAAGCATTCTTGATTCTTCTGCACATGATATTTCGATGACATCGTCGGCTGAATTACCAAACGAAGCTACTAGCTGTGCAAGCGATAATTATGATTTTGAAGAACTAAATGAATACCAAGAGACATATGCGCGACCCGTTGCGGAATTTTATCAAAGCCAACCTCTTGATGATACTCAGTTGAAGGTAACGTCGACGCAAAGTCCTTTCGCAGACAGCCAATTTTGTTCATCACCTTCAACTAACGATACAATGTGCACTGAGGTGCAGCTTCCCATTTCACAAAGTCATACCGTTACGCCCATTATAGCAAACGAAGAAGAAGTCGAGTGTGCAGGACCAGGTAAAGTTTGAGTTTTCCTCTACAAACAAATCACGACAGTGCCTGAGGAAAAATCGCTCTTTTCGATAAATCAAGACGTAGAGTAACAGTTTTTAGTGCTTTGCGATTCTCTCTAGTGCAAAACTTTATCCTACATAGAATGCATACCATAGGATACAGCTATTAAATCATTCCAGCGTTCAAGGCATTTTAAAAAAGTGAGCTGATTATTCGAAGGCCATCGTAGACCGTTTCTCTACTCTTACGCTTGACAGAGGGGTGTCAGGGTTATCCGTTTTCTCAGATTCCGTTTCTTGAGAGCGGAACCTACATCGGATTCTGAGTTCTCGGTTACCAGGGATGAAAATCATACCGAGCTCCGGGAACCTGCTTGAAAATTCGTTCCAACGTGTTTATGATTATATTTAGAGTTATAGACGTACTTATTCTTCCAATCTGTATCAAATCGGTACGGGTTTCGGGTTTTCGGGAAGGGAACCAAAACCTGACAACCCTAACGCTAGAAAGCAAAGAAAGACGGTGAGAGAAGGGGTAGGAAGAGGTGTGAATTTGAGCAAGAATCTTCTCTTAATCCACATAGAAACGCCCTTCAGACCCACACCCCATTATGAGGTAGCACGAGTTAGGGTTTTGGGATTTCATCCATAAGACGCTTATCACTGGAAAAACTCTAGCGCGTGTGTTGGCGAAAGTTATATTGACGGAATTCGCGTCACCCGGAAGTTAATGCCTTAGACAAATAGAGGAGCGGGACCAATTGATTCTAAAATAGCTCACTAGGGAACATTCCCAGGTGAAGGAGCGCTTTTCAGCCGGAGTTTTGCGCATCTTGTAGCCTATAGTGAGCTATGCCTATGGTAAAAAAGTTCGTGTTTCTGGCTTGATTCTGAGGATATACCGAGCTTCTAGTGAATTTTCTCTATAGTATGCCTACATTGTTAGCAAAGCTATACTTCCAAATTTTGACCGGAAACTTTGCTTGCATAAAGGTCTCAGCTAGACTAGTTTGCATAACAAATTTCAGACGTTTTGAACAAAGTCTCTCTAAGATACGAAGCTTTGAAAAAAAATTCATAGTATACATATTATTATGAAAAAGGGACTATACCTTGATAGTTTCATATCTTAGAGAGACTTTGTTCAAAACGTCTGAAATTTGTTATGCAAACTAGTCTAGCTGAGAACTTTATGCAAGCAAAGGTTCAGATCAAAATTCGGAAGTATAGTTTGGCTAACAATGTAGGCATACTATAGAGAAGATTCACGAGGAGCTCGATATCTCCTCAGAATCAAGCCAGAAACCCGAACCTTTCTTAGCATAGGCATAACTCACTATGGGCTACAAGATGTGCAAAATCCCGGCTGAAAAGCTCTCCTTCACCTAGGAATGTTCCCTAGTCAGTGAATGTGGCGTGGTTAGTGGATACTGTGGGTGTGGGTGAAAGAAAGATCCACACGCATACACGCAACGACATCCACCAAATCATTCACATCTAACTAAGTACACACACATTCACGCATCCACCATCTACTCGTTCATTCGCAGCCTCACATCTGTAGTCGCACTCACTCGTTCCTTATTGTCTCAAAAAGTTTGTATATAGGCGAGAAAGATTCACTGAGTCTATCTATAAGGGAAGAAAAAGGACGATTCGCGGCCTTATTAACGATTTCAAGAAATGGTAGTTCCCTAAACACGGAAAAACGTGTCAAGAGCACTGGAGACGATATACGGATAGATTAGCTACTTAGAGTTATGTTCTTTGTTCTCGTGTAATCGAAGTTTAGCTATAACCGATTTTAGAAAGAAATTAACAGATGTGACATTGATCATAGGACTATGGCCACAGGTATCATGGATAGAAAGAACAAATGATCTTCTTCGACAATCAGCCTACACCTATCTTCATTTGAATGGCGCCAAGATAAAGCACTACGAATCCATTGAAAGCTGTCTGGAAGAAACTGGCACTCATCCAACGTTGCACTATTTTATTGTTCTTTGTGATACGTCGAATCTTGAACGTTCAATAGAAATGTTCCGCCGTTGTTCTCGTGTACGACGTATTTATTTGCATTGTTCTGAAGCCAATGTGAGTCATTATGATACATTGATTGCATCATCGCCTTCCCTAGTGTTCATACTTGAGCGTGAAAACACTCTTATTCATGCAATTTTCGTGGATTTGGCGCAATACGTGGAAATACTGGCTAAGTATTACGAACGCGCGAACGAAAAAC